CAATTTGGTGTTCCCTTGTGTTGGCATATCATTTCTAACAATTCTCGCTTTCTACTTACCATCACGAAGCGGTGAAAAAGTGACGCTGTGCATTCTCATTTTTGTCGCTTTGACTGTCTTCTACTTGCTACTGGTCAGCATTTTAGTTTATATAAAAGTCGAAAAATGCTCCAAAACTTATTGGGCACTTAAAACGCCTGCCAGTTCGCCACTGATTCACGAATGGCCCACTTTTTTTACTTTTTCGTTTCGTGGTTGTTTTGACCAGTGATGCATCGTCTGTTTGGTCAGCCCTTTGATAATTTTAAGTTTTCCTAGTCCCCTGAAGGGATTATGGTTCAGTTGCTTTGCCGACGGAGGCACTTTACTGGGGCATTAACCGTTTTTAAAAAATTAGAAGTTTAGGTTAGACGCCATCACATCGTCTCCAAGTGTTGCCATTTCTGGACCACGTGCGAGTCAAATTTGAATAATTTTTGCATTTCTTTGTTTACTCAATAAACAATCGAATGTTCAATATTGACTCGTCTTGGAGGGATGCTTCTTCATCACGGTCGAGAAATGGCAACTTCCGGGATTTTTACTTAATTCTCTTGCCTTTTGATTTTGTTTTTCTTTTTGATAAGTTTGGGATGGGGCTTTTTTTAATGCTACCAAAGTTAAGTAGTTATTATTCAGAAGGAAATCATCCCAACAACAAGTGTCAGTTTGCCGTTGATTGGCAAATACTTATTGTTCACGATGATTATGGTCACGCTTAGTGTTTTTGTCACTGTTGTCTGTAAGTTGCATTCACAAACTTTTAATAATTTTTAATTGAAATATAAATTACAATTGGTCTTTTTCAATTTTTCGTTATTTAGCCCAGATATTTTTAATCCTGTGAGAATAAAATCGGATGGGCAGAACATGTTGCTCGCCTTGCCGATAACTAGCGGACATCGGGCATTGGTGAGTGGTACTCGCGAGGAACCACCGAAGAGATGACCTAAGCACATAGAAAATATAGTGGGTGCTAAAAAGAAGTGTACAGCCCAGGCTCAAAGGACCTGACGCTGCTACGACCAGCGTTTGGCAACAACATCGAAGCATCACTATTCATGGAATACTCGCTCGCACTGATGCCCGAGCAATCTTAGTATTCATGTTGGATTGTAATTTCATAAAAGAATTGGCTTAAATTTTACTTTCTGTTTCTCATGGCCCAAACTAGCTTCTTTTATACTACTTTACTTGGTTACTTTTATCAGCTGTTGTTTCGTTGTTGCGTTAATTTTCGTCACTGATGCAGCTGGCAACTTCTCAGTTCTATGTTTTACCATTTTCTTCCACATAGCCTTATATGGTCGTTTAAGTAGATTATTCCATCGCATTCACGTCCTTTTCTATGTGTGTGTATTTTTTAATATTTCCAAATTAATTTTTTGGAAATGCCTGAGCACGTAAAAATCAAACCGAAAATCAACATTTTCATGATGCTTAACAAATTTTAGCATTAAATTTGCATTTTCGAACTCCAACAACACATCATATGCCGGATTGGGTGAAACTGGTATTTCTGAGGATACTACCGAAATTACTGTTTATGAGACGTCCGATCGACGATGCTAACAAATTGTTAAGTAAAGTCGGTGCAAGGCACGGCGAATTATGTAAGTTCAGTTTTTGAAAAAAAAGTATGCAAAAAATAGACGCTGATTTAAAAACCGCTTTTTTCTCAAGTATTTTGGAAGTTTGATTGGAAAGGTGATTTATCCGATAAGTGGTATGAGCACTTTAAAAACTTCAGTTGGTACGTGGGTTGGAAAACTCAGAATAAAACAAGATGGCACAGCTGTTCTTAATGTTTGACCATTAGTTCGGATCTCGATTTTTGCTCATAAGTTCAA